TTATTAAGTTAGTATGAGGTTCGTCTGAGTGGTCGGCAAACCTATTAGTCAAAAGGGAAAAAAATCAGCAGCAGGACGATTACAAACATTTTGGAAGATGTTTTTTCGGAGTCAAAACCGATTTCTGGCCGAGCCGCACTCAGGTCGCCAAAGAGCCGCGATTTGCCGACCACTGGTCGAAGAGAATTTTCTTTTCCATTCACTTGATGATATTGTGATGGGTGCATTTATAATGTTGTGTTTATATCGCGCTACTAGTGATACCGCCGTGTCCTCGAGCTGAGCAGGTATTGCTGCTGACTGAGCCGTTACAACCAACCACAGCTGCAAACAAGCTAGGGCAGAGGTTCTCAAACTTTTTCCGCCCAACACCCTTGTCTGGAAAATTTGCGGCACACCACCCTTAAAGCGATTTGAATGCTAACAAAACAAAAACAAAAAAAGTGCACATTTAATGTTCAATTGTCTCTAATGCGCTGAATGAAACTTTTTGGATGATTTTTGTTTTGTTTTGTTTTCTTTATGTATATGGAAAATTTAGATAGCTAAGGGGTCCCACGCACTTTTGATGGATCACGTCACTCACCTTGTGTGCTGTGATTACAAAACCGACTAGACACAAAATGGCTTAACAGTAACATTAAATCTAACTTGTTACTGAGTTAAAATAATTAGCACCAACGACTGGTGTCAGACAACATATAATACAGGCTGTCCGAAAAAGAAAGTACCCTTTTCAACAAAATATTTTCGCAGCCTTCCCACCCCCACCCCGATGTAATAATAGAATCTGTTAAATACCGAAAGTATGGAAATAAATCACCCCCCCCCCCCCCCGCCACCCACACCCTTATATTACAAAGATGTAACATAGACACACACTTCGTGACATGGCAGATACCTAGTCGATAGTCAATTTTCTCCCAAACTTGAATCAGCGTGTCTCATCTCTTGTAATGGCAGTAAAGGCTTCTATGTGAGGGCCCCGAAAGTACCCATTTTGAATCTTTGTAATGTAGGGGGAATATAATATATTACTTTACTTTTCTGTATACAAAAGATTCTAATCTCACATCAGGTGGCCATGAACTGAGGTGAGAGTGACGACTGAATTGTCTTTAACTTCGCTGACTCATCACTAGGAATTTAATCTGCTTTTACGTTTTATTAGACTTCCAACAAACCACACATATTATAAAATATATCGTTATTGACTTGGCCGTATGAATTCCCTGTTATGAATATTAATATACTTATCTTATAGATCTACATGCCATTTGTTCTCTTTTCTCATGAGAGAAACATATTACATCCAGCTTAGAAGACCATGCTATTTCATTTTAGATCACAGATTACTTTGTAACCGCCAGGTTCCACACCCCTGTTTTTATTCAGTTTAGCACCACCTAAATCTGATTTTTCTTGTCCATATTGCGACAAGCCTAGCAAACCGGCAGTGGTGTCTTTCTGCTACACTATTAATTTATGAAAGGAGAGAAGAGGAGATATATATTATCACATATCCCAGCATTAGAGAGAAGCTTGGAACACGACCGTGTTTGGGTACTTTGAGAATGAAATGGTTGGGGCATCTAATAAGAATGCACCCAAATTGAACTATATATGAGACCTGCTACAACAGAATATCTGGTCGGAAGGCGAGATGAATGGATAGAAGATGTAGCTGTTGAATGTTGAATTAGGAATCGACATTACTGCACTCGGGACACTCCCATAAGCGCCCCGTCCCCATCTTCAGCAGCAAGCGAAGAGTTCCAATTCCGATGTCACCAGCATCTGTCTGATTCTATATCTGTCTCGCCCTTCCCCTGGGTGTTGAGCGTCTGCCAGATCTACTGGTAACTCCTCGCAGCGCCATTCTCCTCAGACCGTAAAGATCAATCTGTACCTCCGCACTGTTCACTCGTTCCCAAAGGGCCCTCACAATATCTTGCTTGTCATATATAAATTCACTACCAAGTGGTGCAGAGCCAGCCAGTCTTTCTGCCTGCTCATTTTCCAATGCACTGGCATGACCTGGAGAAAATATCCAATCCAAAGGACGCTAACTACCAGGGATCTCTGAATTGATGCTTGCCACTCTGCATGGAGGATGCTTGTCTCCACCTTTCTCAACATGTTCTGTGAGTTAGTTACAATCACGCCATGTGTGTACAGCTGATTCTCAAGCCAACGCTGACTGCCTCCACCTCAATTCTCAAATCAGACGATGTGATATCATATGCAAGGCGTTTTTGCACAAAGCGATATCTATTCACTTTTCCTATGAACCCCCATGCACTTCGTCTGCCTCTCATCACAAAGCCATATGTATAGATAATTACATCACTTAGGTGGAAATTATCATGAATCATTTGTTGAAGTACTGATTCTGCAGCACCAGCTGGCCAGTCCCTGCACTCACGACCTAAACTGATTAGAACCCTTCACAAGTCTGAAACTTGCTCGGACACCTTGACCCACTCCTGTCCTCGCCCAAATTTATCATGCCTGCATACACGTCCAATTGTGTCTTCTGCTTGTGGCATCCAAGACTCTTCCTCTTTTCAGTTTGTGACCCTTAGCTCTACCCAGGGCTTCATGCAGGAGGTGCTTCTTGTCTGTAGCTACTCTGAGATATGACTTTGCATGCAACACTTTCTAGCTGTAGCCTTCAGAAAGATGAACAAAGCAACCTTCAGAAAGATGAACAAAGCAACCTTCAGAAAGAGGAACAAAACAACCAGCAACCTTCAGAAAGAGGAACAAAACTACCAGCAACCTTCAGAAAGATTAACAAAACAACCAGCAACCTTCAGAAAGATTAACAAAACAACCAACAACCTTCAGAAAGATTAACAAAACAACCAGCAACCTTCAGAAAGATTAACAAAACAACCAACAACCTTCAGAAAGATTAACAAAACAACTAGCAACCTTCAGAAAGATTAACAAAACAACCAACAACCTTCAGAAAGATTAACAAAACAACCAGCAACCTTCAGAAAGATTAACAAAACAACCAGCAACCTTCAGAAAGATTAACAAAACAACCAGCAACCTTCAGAAAGATTAACAAAACAACCAGCAACCTTCAGAAAGAGGAACAAAACTACCAGCAAACTTAAGAAAGATTAACAAAACAACCAGCAACCTTCAGAAAGATTAACAAAACAACCAACAACCTTCAGAAAGATTAACAAAACAACCAACAACCTTCAGAAAGATTAACAAAACAACCAGCAACCTTCAGAAAGATTAACAAAACAACCAGCAACCTTCAGAAAGATTAACAAAACAACCAGCAACCTTACGAAAGAGGAATAAAACAACCAGCAACCTTACGAAAGATGATGAAGAAGAAGAAGAAGAAGAAGAAGAAGAAGAAGAAGAAGAAGAAGAAGAAGAAGAAGAAGAAGAAGAAGAAGAAGAAGAAGAAGAAGAAAAGAAAGAGGAGCAGGAGAAGGAGGAGAAGAAGAAAAAATCTTCTAGTAAAATGTCAAGAACACAAAGGAATTAAATTCAAAATTGCTTCTAGTGGCCAGATGCGTACCTAAGGTGTTTGGTGCCATGGCAGGGTGGTCAGAAATATTTGTCTAATTTGCATTTGCCATTGCTAAATGTTGGGGCTACTTTTAGAGACTGTAGTGGATAAATATGAAACATATTTGTCTTTGCAAGTAAAATTCAAATGAGTGAGTAAACTTTTTTTTTTAAAAATTCATGTAAGGGGTGCAGATCAGGGGTTAGTATTTATATTTTTGTATGTTTTGGCGACCTGCTAATCTTCTTTACCAAAATGAGTCAATGTGGTTCATCTAAATGAGACGTTGCCAGTAAAGAAAATGAGATTTTGGCGTCCCCTTCAAGTCGTGCACAGGGCATCAACTGTATCTGCCAAACCCTAGGTCCGCCACCGTCATTAGCATTTTCCGTTTTTCCAGACGAAAGTGTTCCATTGTGCTATGGTGTTCGTTCATCACGAGTGATGAAGATTAATTTTCATCTAAAGTAGTCACGATCAATGATTATGAGCATGAAGGTGGCTGGTTATTCCAATATGAGCCTGGACAGTTCTTGAGCCGCACGGACATCAGGTGGAAGCCGCAGTAAGTGCGGCATTAACGATAATTTTCTTTATAGTCTGCCTTCGTTTCTCTGCCTGTGCCACCTCAGCTGCCTGACAGACTGAAGCACCATGCCTGAGGGATTTACGCCATCCAACGGTACAACGGCCTTTCATGTTGCTGTGTTAATGCCAAAAGAATTGAGAGCATTTTTGAGAGTGTCCTTATAACACTTTTTCTGTCTTCCTGGGACGCCTTCCCTTGTTGGAGCTCGCCACAAAATGCTCTCTTTGGAGGCGACGGTCTGGATTGTGCTTACGATAGGCAGAGAAATCACACCCCATATCGATGGGCAACCGTGGCCAGGGTGAAATTCTGTCTCTCAGTAGCACAAAGTATAGGCCGTGCCAGTATTGTAAAGACCACGTCATGCCCATGCATCATGATCCCCTCGGCTTGCCTTGGTTACTAAGCAAAAGTACCACAACAAAGCTTGCTGCAGAAGCTCGTATTACTTGGTGTTTCGTCCTTTTTAGGACACAATATTTTGTTATTTGAAGCCCTATCCTGGCTTTTTCCAGGGACCGCAAAATAAATTGGCCATAAATATGGCCAATTGTCTGAACGCGGTTTCTGGGACCTCTCCACGGCGATCCTCATCCACATGGTGGCACTTTGTGTCATCGGGTGTTTATCGCTTGTGATGTCCTAGTGGGGTAGAAGCTTGTAGTAGAAGGGTAGAAGTTGCTGGAGAAGCTGGCGGACCAGGATACAGTACAACATCTGGTTGCTTAAAGGGGAGTAACTACAATAAAACAACAAATGTTGCCGTCTCCGAGGACTGTTTGAATATATTTGGGGGGCTGCGTTATATTAGAAAAAAGCAAAACAAAAACAAAGTAAAACCGTTGAAACCACCGTAAGAGAAAAGCCATGTATTTTAATGCTCTGTCCATATTTTGGATGTTCTCATCAGTCTTAATAATTGTTCTGCATAATTTACTGCCACGTAAGTCAGAGCTCTCAAAGTTGTCTAATGGAAACAACAGCTTGCGAGGATTCTTAAAGATACTTTTATGGAAGTTGTACGTGTTTGGGAAATTGAAAGACAGTCAACACGATTGGGACCACATTGCTAATGGGGATGAAAGTAATTCTACAAGAACACACGCATCTTTAAGACACCAGCAATTGGCTGGCACCAGTAAGCAAAACATCTTGTTGAAAGTTACTGCGATACCTAAGAGGTAAGTCGAAATATAACAGTTTTGTGTGCGAAAAATTTTAAACTTTAGAATATAAACTGTGTACTGTGTACAGAAGGTTACAATGAAACTCTATAAATATTAGTATAATAGGGCTCTCCTTCAAACTTCATCCCCATATGGCAGCCAAACAAATACCCTAACAGGGCCTCATGTGTAAAATGCGGAGTGCCTGCCGAGGAACAAATCGCGGCAAAACTAGGATCACCTCCAAATAACAGGCCAGTATTATCGAGGGCAAACAAATGCTTTAACAGGGTCTCAGTGATATGTTAATTGCGGACCTGTTTCTGCGACTATGCTGTGCCGCTACGTGCGGCGCGGTTTGGGAGCTAAACTAGATGACTGGGACGCACAAGCAAATAAATTCATGAGTCCCAGCCATCTAGTTAAGCCCCCAATTTGTGCCGCGGGAGATATGCTCGGCTGTGAGTTTAATCGAAAGAACACTATCGCTAACCTGCGTCGGAGCGTGTGGTCTCCCGGTCATGTCGCTATTATCGTGCGTATTGTTGCATTTTTCAAAAGTGTCAGTGGACAGTAATCCTAGTTTTGTCGCAATGTGTTCATCAAAGGAAGTCCACATTTTCACACGACTGAGGCCCTGTTAGAGTATTTGTTTAGCTGCCATAATATGGGGACGAAGTTCTAAGGAGAGCCAATAATAGTAATAGTATTGTTGCATTAGTTTATATGCTATGATGTAATAGTATTAGTAGTAGTATTTACATTAAGCAATAGTCTGTTCAACCTCTAAGGTTGTAATAGAGCATAAGTGGGAGATAAGATGAACAGGAGTATCTGCATCCAAGTGTAGAAATGGAACTGGCAAAAAATATTAAAGATATGTAAGGTACCAAGTGATACGATATTACTGATGCAAAGTATTATCTCAGTAAAGGCACTGTAGGTTGAGATGTTACTTTATACTGCACCATAAATTTGCTAGCTCACATTTTGTGTTGATTGTTAACTCTTTAAGTACGAGAAAGTTGTTACCTCAGCACTTCCTGGTTCAGAATCTATGTACTTTAGAGGAGTGTTCTTTAACTGGTGGGCCCAGGTGGGTTGCCAGAAGCGTCTGCCTAATCAAGTAACAGGGTTTTTGCTCTTCCGCGATTGCATTCTGTAGGATGTAACACCTCAAGGATAAGAACCAAACAAGTACAAATCCTGGAAATCCTGTTCAACTGCATAAAACAGTTGAATTACGGCATCGGACAAATGCGTAACAGGTAGTCCAGTCCTCAGTGTGGGTTCCGGGGCCCCATTGTGGGGAAAACCAGAATAGACCCACTGCCTCCCCAAAAGCATGTCGTAAGAGTCGACTAATTGGGGAGCTTCCTTTGAAGTCGGAGTGCATCTGCCGGAGAGGCAAGGAACCAACAGTCTGTATTCAAAAGAATGAGATCTGTAAAACTGATGCACACACAACACTCAGGTTCTGGAGCAGGACTGCAGTTCAGTAGTGGACGAGCAACCAGAACTTTCCGCCAGAGTGTACAGCTGGTGAACGCGAAGAACAAGAAGAAGGTAGTCCAGTAGTGGCTAAATGATTCTTGCCAAGCGAGTATGGTATCGCACATATTAATTTTGTTTCTGTGATTTATTAGCTGTCACATGGGAAGCAGAAACAAATTCCTTGTTTTGGTGGGCTGCAGGTATACAAAAGGTTGAGCACTTGCTTTAGAGCAAGACTTGTGTCTCAGCAGGAGCTCAGGTACCATGGGCCGTCCCTCTGCATAATTTTAGGGCTCTGAGGCCTTCCCCATCCCCTTCCTGAAAATTTAATTAAAGCAAAAAAGTAAAGGACCCTTTTCCATGCCATCTGGCGTATTAGGCATATAGGGCACTTAGTGGGTGATTCAGTTGGGTGACATCATCAGCGTCAGGCTGGCTGCCTTTACTTCTCAGGACTGCACCTGGTGCCCAGTCAAGGCTGAGTTGACCTGGAAACTAAGGTCATTTTTAAAAGAGTCCAGCTCTGTCAGATTCTGAACCCACGACCTTCCAATATGCAGGCGAGCGTCTAGCTGCTACACCACGGTGACTTCCCCTGAAAATTTAAAAGGGAATAGTTGGCTCTCCTGACAGTTATAGACATTCTCTTTTTAAATAAATTTATTATTGTTTAATGAATGTATGTTTTTGTTTCCAGTTGGTTCACCCATTTCTACTTGGTGGGAGCATTAGTTCACTTTGCTGTGTTCAGCACCCTCATTTATGTTTTGCTAGGCAATCCTTTTCCTGCTGCATTAAGATGGCTGATCAACCTGATTAATTTGAACATAGAGGCAAATGGTATATTTTCACAAACATTTATAGTTAGTATATATGTGGTCATAACTTCTTCTTCTTCTACCTTTCTAACCCCCAATGGAGCTCATACCAAGTCGTTCTATCCCTTGTTATCGCATGCAGCTCTCCCCATGTCCTTCCCAGCTTTGTAACTTCACTCTCTAGCTCCCTAGACAGCAGACTGCATTTCCTGGGAATCACCTTTGACAGAAATTTGTCTTTCAAAGTTCACACAGAGGGGGTTGTAGCAAAGGCTCAAAATGGTCCTAATGCCCTAAAAATTATGGCAGCGATGGAAATGGAGCAGAGAATGTTGTTCACACTTTACCATCAATTAATCATCTCATTGATTGATTATGGATTGGGGTTATTCACTGTCTCAAAGAGAGAGAAACTGGAGCAAATACAGAATTAACCTATGCAGGTGATCCTGGGATCTACAAGAGACACACTGATTGTGTGCATTCGATACATCGACTATTGCAGAAAGGCTAAAGGTGCTGTAGGCTAAGTTATACCTCAGAGTAGCTGCAGACAAAGAAAACCCTCTGTATGAAGCTTTGGCTGCAGGTAAGGGTCAGAGGCTGAAAAGGGGGAAATCGTTGGATGGCTCAAGCAGAGGACACAATAAGACAGCTGGAGAACATTGGGCGAGAAGGTGAGTGGGTCAGAGTATCAAAGAAAAAGTCTGACCTGTGTAGGGTTGGGATCACATTGGGCTGGGAGTGCAGAGAGTGACCAGCAAATGCTATGGAGGTGGAAGTCCAACAGTTGATTCATGACAATTCACGCCCAGATGATCTGATTATCCATACAGACGGTTCATTGTTGAGAGGGAAGAAAAGTGCCTGGGGATTCGTAGCGAAAGCCAATGAAAAATCTTTAGGGCAGGTCAGCCTAGCATACGATACCAAAACATCTAGCATGAGAATGAAGGTGGAGGTGGTAACTGCAGCTTTCCTGTGGTTAGAAAACAAGATGCATACACATGTCATAATTGTAACAGACTTGGAAAGCATCCTGAGAAAGGTAAAGACAGGGATGCTTCAAGCAGAATGGCAAGCTTCACTGGGAAAGTCATAGGTAGTGAGCATACTTTGGAACTTTTCTCCAGGCAATGCTGGCGTGGTGGGGAATGAATGGGCAGACAGATTGGCTGGATCTGCACCACTGGGTGGTAAAGTGATACATGACATAGCAAAAGTGGTCAGGGCCCTTTGGGAAAAAGCAGCAGAGTCAGAAGCGTAGCAAGATTATTATGGCCTGGAGAGAATGAGGCACCTGGGTGTAACCAGAGGGTCTGGCTGGCTCACTACACTCAGAAGAAAGGCAAGACAGACACATAACCAGATTGGGACCGGTACGAATAATATTGAAACTCTTCACTGGCTGCTGAAGATGAGGACAGAGCATACATGGAAATGCCCTGAGTGCTGTGATGTCAGTTCTTGACTCAACTCACCTCAACTCTAGCTCCCTTCTCCATGTGTTTTTTTACCTTTCTTTATTCCTATGCCCCTGTGGGTTCCAGTTCAATGACATTCTAGTTATATTGTTCTCTAGTTTTCTCAACGTGTGTCCTATCCAATGCCAGCATTTTTTTTCACCTTGATTCACTGGAACTTGCTTAGTTCTCTCCAAAAGCTCTACATTAGTGATTCTATCATACCATTTAATTTCCTGTATGTTGTGCAGGCACTAGTTAATAAATGTTTGTAGTTTATTAGTAATTGCCTTAGTTATTCTCTATGTTTCTGCTCCATACAATAGTATTCATTTGACATTGAAATTAAAAATTTTAAGTTGAGTATTTCTTTTAATTTCTTTTGACCCCAACAAATTCCTTAGTGCTATGAAAGCCCCTCTTGCCTTTTGTAATTTTATTTTAATATCTCTATAAGTTCTCCCATTCTTATCTACATTACAGCCCAGATAGGTGTACGACTCCACATCTTGGAGTGGGGTACCATTAAGAGAAACTACATTACTATTTGCCTGATTCATTCTCATTATCTTTCTCTTTCCTTTATGGATTTTCAGACCTAGCTGTTGTGAGCACACACCAAGTATGTTTAATTTATCTTGCATGTGTTCCGTGAATGGGACAAAAGAGAAATATCGGCAGCCAAGTCAAGCTGCTTTGTAGGGGTCCACTGAATTCTATTCTTGGTGCTAGCAGTTGTCTTCATAATCCAGTAAAAAATAGGAGAGGTGACAAAAGACATCTCTGTTGCACACCTGTTTTTATTTTAAATGTATCTGTCAGCTTTCCCTCATTAAGAACTTGACATTTAATGTTTTTGTATATTGCCTTTACTTAGATACGTGTAAATATGTGATAAATATGTGTTCTAACATGTAGGAAATGTGAAAATTATGTTCGTGAGGAGAAGTGTTCAGGTAAACATGAATCTATGACAGGTCTGGCAAACCAGTGAAAGATTTAACTACATACACAGTGATGCACAAGAAAAATTTAGAGTAGAAACGTTAAATATCTGTGGCTGGGGCAACAAAGCAGAGAAGACTATACAACTGATGGAAAAACACCAAGTGAAGATTTTAGGTTTGGCAGAGTTGAGATTTAACGGAAAAGGGACAGAAAGGTTACACAAAGATTTTCTATTGGTATACTCTGGTATAGGCAAGTCTCAGCGTGCAAAACATGGAGTATGTTTCATCGACATAAGATTGCAAGTAAAATTGTAGACATCAGTTACACATCAGAAAGAACTATATGTATTAATTAAAAATAAAGAGACAGAAGAACAGAAACCTACATTTACGTTGACGCATCCTGCAACAGAAACTACAGCAAAGAAGAATTAGACAAATATTTTGATGAACTGAGCAATGTAATTTCTAAAACTGATCCAACAGTTAAACTTTTCATGATGTTGGACTTTTATGACAAAGTAGGAAACAACGGGAGAGCGTTGTCAAGATTTTGAGGAAGCTTTGGAGATAAAAACAGCGAGATAAACAAAAATGGTGAAAGAATACTAGAAATGTGTGCACAGCATGACCTTGTAATTACCAGTACCTTCTTCAGCACAGAGACTCTCATGTGTTCACTTGGTATCAATGGAAGAAGCCAGAAATAAAAAGTCAAACTGATTATATCCTGATAAGAAAAAGAGATTTCTGTGAGCTCACTGATGCTAGAGCTAAAACAAATAGCAGTATTGACACAGATCATAAGATGGTGATCGTAGATACACAAGTCAAAGTAAAGCGGCACCTAGGAAGAAGAAATATTGAAATAATAAAATGGAAAGAATTAGACAACACTGAAATGAGAAAAACTTATCAAGAATTATTACAATATAAGTATGAATCACTTCTAGAAAATACAAATTTGGGGTGAAAGAGGAATGGATTAATTTTAGAGATACTCTCAGGAATGTAGCACAAGAAATATGCAGAACTAAAAAGAAAGGAAGTCAGGATGTAAGATATCAACATGCTGGAATGAAGAAATAAAGGAAATGGGGAAAAACAAAAAGGGAGCTTACCATTTCTGGTTAAAACACAGAATAGAAGAAAACTGCACAAGGTATAGGCAAGCCAGAAAAGAAGAAAATAAAGCAATAAGAACAGCCAAGAAAGATTCATGGGAGAAGTTTGAAGAAATTTTGGCAGCAAAACAATGCAGTAAAAAGAAACTACTACAAGAAAGTAAGAGGCATAAGACAAAGCAATAAGGAATACAATCCAACAGAAATACTAAATGATGAAAGAGGATGACCTATTCTAGGCCCCAAAATGATTCTAGAGAGTTGGAGTAACTATTTTAAAGAACTACTAAATTTCAAGAATAAAGATGACAATGCAAACAGCAATACTATAACAAACACAGCAAAAGAGACGGATACACTAGAGCCAACAATTTTACTGACAGAAGTAGAAAATGTAATAAAGATAGCACCCAGGCACAAAGTGACTGGTATTGATGATCTCCCTGCTGAAGCCATCAAAGCAGCTGGAGAAACGAGCAAAATGGGTCAGGCACATTTTCCAGACTGCCTGGCTAGAACAAGAAACACCAGATGACTGGCCAACAGCAATAATTATACCGATAAGGACAAATAAAGGGATTAAGAAAGAGTTCACCAATTACAGAGGAATATCACTATTCAGCCACACAGGGCAAATGTATGCTAGATTAATTAAAAGAAGATTAAGACCATTAGTAGAAGAACAACTTTCAGGTACTGCACAGACACAATATTTACATGAAGACAGTTGACAGAAAGAGCAGTATAGTATGATAAGACATGCAAAGTTGCATTTCTAGATCAGGCAAAAGCGTTTGACAGAGCGGATAGGAATATGTGGAATTGCTTAAGAAGATATAGAATCAGCAAACATGTAACTGAATTGTGTAAGAGCTTATATACATCAAGTAAAAGTAGCATACGAACAAAAGCAGGTACATCGCAACCTTTTGAAGTAAATACAGGAGTAAGACAGGGATGTGTGCTATCTCCCCTGCTTTTTTATAACATACATTGATAATATATGTGAAGAAGCAGAGAGCGAAGAAAAGAATGATACCTCTGAATTTGTATTTGCAGATGGCCAAATGTTAATAGCTGAACAGAAGAGAGTTTACAGAATCATATAGACCAAGTCAATACTAAGTGTGAGAAATATAATATGAGGATAAGCATTGATAAGACAGAGGCAATGGTAATAGGTAAACGAGAAGAAACCATATAAATTAAAGTAAATAACACAGCAATAAAACAAACGAGCGAATTCAAATATCTAGGGTAATTTTTCACCTCAGTTGGAATGGATAGAGAAATCAACATACAGTTTGCAAAAGCGAATCAGGTTATGAGGCAATTAACACCACTTCTGACACATAGAAAGAAACCTCTGTCAACCAAAGCAAATCTCATAAGAACAATTTTTTGGTCGACATTGTGCTACTAGTGCCAAACATGGACCCTTACTACAACTAATGATCGGAAAATTGTAACAGTAGAGATGAGATGTCTCAGGAAAGCTGCCGGTGTGACAAAAAGAGAAAAAATCGGGAATTAAGAAATTAGAAGAAGACTAGGACTGAAACCAGTCATACAATTCATCAAAGAACAACACATGAGATGGTTTGGTCGCCTATGAGAATGCCACAGAGAGCCATGCTGAAGAAATATAATTAACACATGGCAAGGGGCAGACCACGCAAAACATGGAGCGGCACCATCAGGAGCTACCTAACAGAAATGAACACTAGCTTGTTAAATATATTGGAAAAAGCGCACTAACAAACCTTACATCTTTCAACACCACGCTGAGGTAAATTCTGGAAGAGAAGAAGAAGAAGGAGAAGAAGAAGCCTTTACTAACTTTTATAAATTTTCTGTTGGATTAATTTCCAGAGAGATTCACTATTAGTGCTGTCAAAAGCTTTTTCATAGTCTATGAATCCAATGTAGTGGTGAATTCAGTTCAATGATTTACTCTGTTTTTATATTATATGTAATGTTGCCATCTGATCAGTACAGGTTACGTTTGGCCGAAAACCTGCCTGTTTATCTCTTCACTTTTTTTCAATTGCATCTTTTAGTCTTTCCAAAATAATCCTACTTAATATTTTTCAAAGAACTGACAGCAACATAATTCCTCTATAGTTTTCACACTCCTATAGATTACCTTTGTTTGGGGCAGTTCCACAAGAAATCCTTCTCTCCAGTCTGCTGGTATTTCTTTGGTCTCCCAGACTTTACCACAAAATCTATCTAGCAATTCCATTGATGTGTTTATATTAGCCTTAATAGCTTCTTCTGGGATACCATCTGGACCTGCCGGTTTCCTTCCTTCAGAAGATTGACAGCTTTTCTAATTTCCTCTTTAGATGGTATCTCACAGTTGATATTCAGTTCCATTTCTAGAGGCTGGATATCTGAAGGAACCTCTGGAGCTGGTCTATTTAGATATATTTTAAAATATTCAGCCCATCCGTCCATTTGATCTTTAGTGTTGGTGGGTACCTCTCCTTGACTATTTTTTAATGACACAATTGGCTGACTGTATTTGCCTACTTATTTCCTTGTGTTACTGTAAAGGACTCTTAAGGTTTCCATTTGTTGCTGCTATCTCCTGATAATGATGATCTCCGCTTGTGCTAGGTCATCTAAATATTCCCTTTTACTGCCCTTATTTGCCTCCTGACTTCCTTATTAGCTTCTGTGTATTGTTCCTGAGCTCTAACTTTAATAGCTCTAGTTTTGTTGTTGTTTAAATCTGCCTTTTTGCTTTTCCTTCCTTCTGTCATTTTAATGGTTTCTGGTATTGTCCACGCTTTATGTTTCCATTCTTTCTTTCCAAGGACTTACACACATGATTAATTCTATATTTCCTTGATCTGATCCCAGCAGACTTCATCGCTTACATCTTTAGCTAACTGCTGCAACATCTGGTAATTATTAGAGACCATGACTGAAAATTGTTCCTTAACTGCTTTATCCCTGAGATATCCTAGATTATACTGGTTTCTATGATTATAAGGTGTTATATATCTTTAAAGTTTCAACTTGATTTTACTGAACAGAAAATGGTCAGTAAGTGCATTGGCACCACTGAAAACCCTAACATCATAAAAAGGCAGTCTAAACTTTTTGTTTATACATATGTGATCAGTTTGATTGGTTGTCTTATGGTCTGGTGATTCCCCTGTTGCCTTGTGTATACTATAATGTGGGAAGATGCTTCCGCCAATAACATACTGGTTTCCTGCACAAAAATTTGTGAATAATTCTCTATTTTCATCAGTTACTCCTAGTCCATGTTTTCTAATTAATCTCTTGATAACCTGTGTTGTCTGATCCTATCTTAGCATTCAGGTCACCCATCAAAATTGTTATATTGTCCTTTCTTTCATAATTTACACATTTGTGAAGTTGCATGTGAAATTCTTTTTTAACTGATTCATCTTAATCATTTGTTGGTGCATAACACTGTACTACCGACATGTTCATCTTCTGTTTCGCTGTTCTAAATTAGACTTTTATTATTCTAGGACTCGCAGCTTCCCATTCTGTCACTGCCACCCCTGCTTTTTTTCGATAGTTTCAGGGCCACTCCTTCACTGTGGCGAGGATTTTCCTTGTATGTTGAGAACAAAATAGTTTTCCCTAAATTTAGAATATTTTTCCCCACCCAGGTCCATCTAGTTTAACTTAATCCTAAAAAACTAATCCTATAATTTTTAATTTCCCTTGGTACTTACATCTGTTGTTCTTCTTACATCTAAGTTCTAACATTCTAGGTGCCAATTTTGGAGGTTTTTCTAGATGAAAGCGACAGTAGACAAAGTGACTGAGTGGTGTACAGCAATGAGGGCTGTTGTCCACCCAGAAAAGGCATCTGTTTTGTGGTGTTCTGTCAACAACAGAATCGTTAAAGCTAATGTCCCAAGTCTCACGATAGATGGTAGAAACGTCAACAGAGAGAGCAAACTGAAGTATCTGGGAATTACATTTGACAGGAGCCGGTCCTTTAAGGACCACGTAGAGAGTGTTGTGACAAGATGCCAGAAAAGACTTAGTGCACTTAAGACTATGAGCAATTGACATAGAGCAGAGAATGCTTTTCACTCTATATCAGCAATTCATCCTGTCATTGGTTGATTATGGCCTGGGACTGCTTACCGTCTCACAGAGTCAGATGGACAAACTAGAGCACATTCAGAACTCAGCTATGAGGGTCATTCTGGGTTGTACCAGGGACACCCTAATGGTGTTTATGCGATACATCCTTGGTCCTACAGTCTGCGGATTGTGTGTGTGTGTGTGTGTGGGGGGGTGGGGGGGGGGGTATTCAGTTTTACAATTGTTTAGGTTGAAAATATGGTAAGATAGTGGCTAGATGTCACCTGCTGACCTAACGGTTTTTTTTTATTCGAGTCATCACCTGGAGGATTTGGAAGAAAATAAAATGATCTTGGCTCCCAGATCGACCAAGTCTACAACAGGTACCAGGCCATGTCCTGGGAAGTGCAGACAGCCAGGGTGATTTGACCACATCACCCACCAAGAGGCATTTGGTCGACAGAAAAATGATGAGCATACTTTGCTGAATATGCCCATAAAAAAGGGCTCTTTACTTGACTTAGTTGCTCAGCGAAGTAATGTCAGTGTCAATATCTTGTCCTTAGATCTAGACGACAAAGCCTGGCCCGTGCTGATAGTGTTCACACTGGAGTTTCTGCAGATGTTGAGAAGGCTTTATGAATGTGTTTTTGTTAGCACTTTTTCAAAAGGGACAATGAGCTTTGTGCATTACTTTCTGGGCATGTTCCTGTACAGTTCATTTGGGATAGGGCTCCTAGCATCGGTGAAGCTGGACAAATTAGTTTTTGGTAAGTAGTTGCTGCCAGATATTTCAGATGTTCATTCATGTCATCCTGCCAGACTGTCCATCCCTTCTTTGTCTCCCTCTTTTCCAAAGTGGATTCTAGGGCCTCATTTTAGGGGGAAAGGAATAAACCCACTGCCCCCTAAACAAGCATGTTGTAAACTTTGACTCTTTCGAAGTCTGAGTCATCTGCCTGAGAGGCATGGAACCAACAGTCTGCATTCTGATAAGTCAGATCTGTAAAACAGATGTGCATGCAAAACTCAAATTCTAACAAGACACAAGTCCAGAAGTTGAACAACACGATATTTTCCACAAGCGTTTACAGCCAGTGAATGAGAAGGTTTCCCTCTGCCTCCCTTCTCCTCCAGATCTGTTTTTGTCAACAGTCAAACTATGTAATATTTGCACTGAGTTTATAGAATTGATTAATCGTTAAGAGGGGCTGGAAGAGTGGGTAGAACGCTTGGCTCTCATGTGGAAGACTGTATTCAATCCCCAGTAAAAGATAAATTTTGTTTCTCCTTCTTCTTCTTTTCTCTACTCCAGGAATGCCTCGTGACATCAGGGAAGGAAGATATCTCCAGAATGGGCCCTTCTCTTCGCTTCGTATATAGTACTTTTCAGTGTCTCTGATATTTCTGCGGTCCATCATCTGGGTGGTTGACCTTTGGGTCTGTTACCACTGTAACTGTATAACATTGCTCTCTGTGGTGCCCTGTCTGCTGCCAATCTTGTTACATGGCCAAACCATTTGATTTGTTGTCTACCTATAAAGTTTAGTATTGGTTCTGTGCCGATTCTCCTCCTGATATCATCAGTCCTAAGTTGATCTTTCCTCATTACACCTTGCATAGTATGTAAACATTTCATTTCTGTCGTGACTATTTTCCTTCTGTTTTCTGAAGACAGTGACCATGTTTGACATTGATAGCAGAGCGTTAGTAAGCATATTGTGTTAAACAGTGTTCTTTTAGTGTTCATATCTACATGCTTGCATTTCAAAATTGGTGCTATTTGGCCTAAAACTTGATTGGCTTTATTGCATCTATGCTGGATTTCTTTATTCATTCTTCCGTCTTCTGAAAAAAAAAATGCTTCCTAGATATGTAAAATCTTTTGCCTGCGTTAACTTGATGTTCATCAATTTTGATATTCATGCTGGGAGCAAAAATAAAAATCCTGACCAGCGTAGTTTGTGGTGATTGCATTAGCCATGCAGCCTAAATGCTCTGGCTCTTCAACACACTCTTTCCCCCTTTTCCGCGCGCACACCATCCTAAACTGCCCTAAAAGGGTAGATGTAGGCAGTAAAGACCAATTGAGTCTTAGTGATAACAACCTTTTGTCTTTCCTGTGTCATACTACTGGTCACTAGAAAACTTGGAATACATTCACCTAACCTCCTTGATGTAATGACTCATTGGAGAAAGCATGACAGAAAGGATTAATGTAAAAAATAATGTTAAAAAACTAGAAACAATGGGATAGCACAATTTTTGCAAAGAAGTACTGTGATGTGGATTCTTAATTCAACATTTAACATTCACTGAATCACTGGCCATCTGCTAAGAGCATCACATAAAGCACTCACTGAAGTTCTAGTGAGGATCCTCCGGGCTCTCCAAAAAAATTTTACTCATGGGCTGAAATGAACTCATGATCTTCAGACTGTGAAGCAAATGACATAACCACTTAGACTTCCTGTAATAGAAATTGTGTGGCTTTGTGACTTAGAGGCTAGCGGATGCCGTTAACAGTTTCATGATCTTGGAGTGCTGGGATTCGTTCCCCATGGTGGACAGGGGTTAAAATGGTTCTCAGAGTTTTTGAACAGTGGCACAAGAGTCGCACTGTGGGGCCTTACCACATAATATTCCCAAACACTGCAATAGGCACATTGCAGCCAACCTTCATTGTGGAGACGGCACAGAACTTAGAATAGAAATTAAAAAATAAAAGACATTTTGATGATAAGCAAATGAATGATTGGTTTAAAATAAATGTTCCTCCAGCATATCCAAGTTTGGAAGAGATTGTCTACAGTTTTCTGGGTATCTCTTTGTTTGTGTGGGGTTCCTACTACCAGCATAAGAGTATGCTCACTTTTGCTTCACTGAGGAAGGATAAGACAGGTACGTCTTTTAAAATTTCAAATTATAAGTTTTTCTGCACATAGTAACATTAAATGATTTCAGTAAGTAAATCTGTGGGAGAACAAGAGGCCATACAAGAAAAAGAGTGAACTATATTTGTTTTTGTTTCTGTGTTTGGTTAGCTGTCATATGGCAGTAAAACAATTTCCCCTGTTTTGGTGTATAAAAATAGTTGCTAGAACAGTATTCCCAATGTGCCTTGGGACATGGACATATGGGAAGTGTTATTTGTGAAGCACACCGAAGCAGTATGTAACACTTGTAATTGATAGTCTGTATTGTCCTCTCCAAATGTGGAGCATGTGTCTAGCTTTCACACCCATATAAAGGAATAGACCATGATAGATGCATCCTTGATCAGGCAGACTAGTGTCTGCCCCAGGTGGGTCATGTGGAGGTAAAGGTCATTATAAACACTAACCCTAGTTTAACAGCCTCTCTATTCCCCAGTAGTTAAAAGTTAAAAGAAAACTATCTTCCTACAAGAATTCAGAAAGTTTGTTTGCAGGTATGTGAGACTGAAATCCTAACTGGCCAGTCACTCATTAATTGGTAGTGTAAATGTTTTGAAAATCTCACCGCTATTAAAACAACCCTGTTTATAAGAGTCTCTGAGGCAAAGTAGTTAAGCCATTTACCTCACACTTGGAAGATTGTAGGTTCAGTTTTGGAGTGCAAGAGTGCAGGAGTTTCAAAGACTCCTTGGGGTCGTCCCTGAAGCTTCATACTTTGTGCTTTGCATGACACTCTGAGCTAGCAAACAGCCACTCTGTATGGGGGTTAAAAAAATATGGGATAAAACGCCCAGTGCAATGTAGATGAAGATCCCGCTATTAAAACACCCTTAGACATTAGTTGTCTCCATGTGGGTTCTGGAGTCCCATTTGAAAAGCGGGTGGGGGAGAGCATAGACCCATATCTCCCTTAACAAGCATGTCATAAAAGGTGACTAATGAAGGATTTGTTAGGCTAAAATGCACAGATACTGTGCCTATCTGTAAACCTCAGCACAGTGTGCCAACACCCTTTTAAGGACAGATGAAGAAGGAGAAAAAGCACTTTTTGTAAATTGTTTTTTGTTTCCACCTACAGTGTATTTAATATATATATATTTTTTTTTTTTGCAGATCACAAGGCAGATGAACACTACATTCCCCAGGGACACTTGTTTGAAATAGTATCATGTCCGCATTATCTTTGTGAAATTCTGATATATTTTGGCTTTTGTCTTGTCTTTAGATTTATAAATATTTACTTGTTAATCGTTGCCTTCTTTGTATTGACCAACCAGATGTGTTGCGGTATTGCTGTACATGCATGGTACCAAGAGCATTTCTCAGGATATCCTATGACCAGAAAAGCTGTTATCCCTTACATTTTGTGATAAAACAGTGCAGCCTAATAAATATCAGCTGTGGTTCAACCCTTGCCACCATGTTCTCTTTCCGTATCTCCCTTATCTCCTTTCTTTCTCTCTCTCTCTCTCTTGCTTGTATCACCTCTCTCTCACGCTACCTCTCACTTTAAAATTCCTGCCCCGTCTTTCTTTTTTTCTCTTAATTTTTTTGTCCCCCTTGGACTCTCTCTCTTGTCCCCTCTCTCTTGCTGATGCCTTCTCTCTCTGCCTGTCTTTCCCTGTCTTTGTCTCTCTCCTCTTTTTCTCTTTTACTCATAACCTGACTTCCTGAAAACGGTGGTGAGATGATATACAAGCAGACCTGCAGACACTTGGAGTCATCCATTATGAAGCGAAGGCTAGTCACAGAGATAAATGAAGCAGTCAACCTCAAGGGTTCAGAGTGCTGAAGGAGAAGAAGATAGAAGCTTCTTGTCTGCTCCATCAAATTTCACATGATTCCAAAATTCAAATGTTATATTTCATGTACACTGTGAACTTTTATTTAATTACCCATTTTTGTGAGACTACTTTGTTCTCCTGCCAGGGACAGAATGTTACAGTTAATTTCTAAAGATTCAGCATAATCAGATATATGTGTCTGTGTGTATGTTTATATCTTCACTGTATAATATGGAAATGTACATACAACTCATGAATACACTAATGTTAATTCTTAATATTTTGTCTAGATGTCAGAAGTCATTTTTATTTTGTTGAATAAACATTACCATTTATATAAGGTTAGTTGCGTATCCTTTACAGGACTGTTGCAGAACCAACCCCAACAGCCCCTGGCTGTTCTGTGGTTTTTCTAGGCAAATTTACGTTCATTAGTTTGCCATTACTTTCTGGGCGGTTGGCTTTCTTGATACCACTGTCGAAACCAACACAAGGCGCATGGCCCGCAGCTGGGATCGAACCCGGCATCCCGGCATTACGAAGAGTTTGCATCGACTTAGCCACAGAGCCGACTATCATTTATTTGCTATTTAGAAAATCTGCCTTACACAAGCTGTTATATAATATTAATTATCTAGTATTATCCTTATCATTCTTCTTCTTCTGCTGCTTCTTCTTCTTTTTCCTCTTCTGCTGCTGCTTCTTCTGCTGCTGATTTTGTTTCTTCTTTTTTTTCTTCATAGACTTGTAATGCTTTGTAAGCTTTACCTGATACAGGCTCATAACATTCAGTGCTTCTCAGCTGAAGCTTTTTTTTTTTTAAGCTAGTTAGTTAGTCGAGGTTTTGACACCACCGCAATTGGGTTTACCCTTACTTGCTCCGTTCCTGTGCCAGAGCGAATCAAATAAAATTACCCTTACATATGAAAAACTTTTGAATAAACAACTAATTCCTGAACAATCCAGAAATATGTGCACACAGTAAGTGCATATTTCAGTTGCTCGAGGTGCCAGAGTTTTCTGCTGTAGTACTGTCAGGCTCAAGGATGGCATCTCAACATGTCATAAAAGCTGACTAGTACAGGTTTTCACTTTAAAGTTGTAATGCATCTGCCTGAGATGTGAGGAACCAACAGCCTTCAAACAAACCAGATTTGTAAAACTGATATGCATACAAAATTCATGTTCTGGGACAAGGCTAAAGTCTAGAAGTAGATGAACAGTTTACAGCTGATGAGTGTGACAGAAAGAAGAAGAAAGATCTGACAGCTTGATGCAGAGATTGATTGCCATTGTTCCTTATCCAACATCAGACATAGAACGGCAGATGTCATTAAGATAAAATACTGAGCAATCACACTGAGATTTGGACATTCAATTACCAGTTGTTGGTGATTGTTTCATTAACTGGGATTTATGTGGATGTTTTTCTCTTGTTAATAATGCTTGGGAATTTTCTATTTATCCTCTATTTTTAATTACCAGTTTTTTAAAGGGCTTTGCTGCATGTTCAGAGTAGATGGCACCTAAAAATATTTGAAAAACCACAATATTAGATTGAAATAAACCATTCCAAGTTGTAATCTATATTTTGTTAAAATGTCACATTGAAGTTTAACATTTTTTTCCTAAAAACAACCAGTCCCCTTTTGGCTGAAGCCTTCCACAGGCACACAACATGATTTGTCTAATGTCCCCCATTCTTTTTATCTTTTTTATCAGGATCCGCAACCATTTTGGTGTATTGTGCTGAATGAATGGAATAGTGCCAGTGTCAATCTACTACAATTTGTGACATACAGCAATTATTGAAGCAGAGACTTTTATCTTTTAACATTTTAACATACTCGCCATGTGGGTTCCAGGGTCCCATTGTAGGGAAAACAAGAAAAGACTCACTGTCTCCTAAACAAGCTTGTCGTAAGAGTCTGCTAAATGGAAGCTTTATTTGAAGTCAGAGTGCATCTGCCTGAGAGGCAAAGAAACTGCAGTCTTGCATACAGAAAGCAGATCTGTAAAATGGATGTGATTGTAACACTTAGGCTCTTGATTAAGAGGACATTGTCCCGAACAGGAAAGAAGTGGCCCTGGTAGAATGGGAAGTCGTGAATCCTAAAATAATAAGAGTATCATTTAGAACAACAAAACAGAAGGTGAATGTGTCGGTAATTCAGTGTTATCCCCCAACAAATGTAAAGGATCAATCAGTTGAGAAGGAATTGTACATGCAAGTTAAAAATATTAAAAGTAACGAAAGAAAGTGCAATATAAAAATGTGTATGGGTGACCTGAATGCTAAGATAGGATCAGATAAACCAGTAGTATCCAGGGGTGGATGAATAACCAAAACTTTCTGCTGGAGTTTACAGCCGGTGAACGTGAAGAAGAAGATACTAATATGATTTCAACAGATTAAGTAACCCTTCTGTTTTCTGTAGATAATTCATTACTTTAATTTATTATGTACCAAGCATATATATATATATATATATATATATATATATATATATATATATATATATATATATATATGTGGTTGAAACAGTTACATGTCCACACTTGCCACGTATAACATACTTGTTTTATATGGTTTTATGAGTAACTAATTCCCTTCTAAACATTTTTTTCAAAAAGTTGATATGATATTCTTTTGGCATAAAAATGAGTGGTTGGTTTGTGTGGTTTATATTTGAATGGAGCAGTTACATTCAATGTTTCTTTAATAAAAAATTTTTTTGAAAGAAGACTTTTTAAAACATAAGCTTTTATTCAAATTGCCTTCAGTAATAAATGCACGAAAAAGATTAAAATACATTTTTGTATAGTTTAATGAACACACAGGATTAAATTTTTTTTTTTTTTTTTTTTTTGCACAAGTTTACTACAAGTTTATTTCAGAACTGTTAAATGTGTCGGATGCCCAATTCTTTTTATACTGTGTACCTCTTTTTGTGTTCATTACTTACTCCAAAGCAGTGCATATTTCATTTTACTCTCTTCTATCTCAGATAGTTGTTGCATCAACTCATAATTTAAGAATTGATAGTTTTACTCTTTCTGCTCTATAGTGTTATTTTAACTTTTCAGGACTAAAACACTGAACACTTTAAACAAGAACTAATCAGGATATGCGGAGCTGACACTGAATGTTTGTAACCAGGGCCCTCATGAAAAGCAAAAAATAGGAACATTGTACCCTACCAGGCATATCAAGAGAGCTGACTAAGGCTAGTGTTAGGAATGGCATTCTCAACCCTTAAAAAACAATAGCCACAAAGTCAACCAACCCTGGAAAAGGCAAAAAGAGAAACAAGGTATACCCAGCCAACCAAGATGGGGGAGGCTGTTCTAATAGAAGAATGATAACATGATGCTAAAAAAAGCTGAAAGGAGTCCAAAATTCGATGTACCTTTTTTAACCTAGAAAAATCTCCAGGACCGGAATGTAAGAAGTTGTCCAGTATAGGAAGGACGGTAGAGGTATTAAAAGAAATGAAACAAGTAGGATTAGTATTTTAGGATTATGTGAAACTGGATGGGGCAGGTAAAGGTATTCTCACTACAGAGGAAACTACATTGTTTTCAGGACATACAGAGAAGGAGTGGCTGTGATGCTATCCAGAGAGATAGAGAGGGCACTAATAGAATGAGAAGCTGTGAGTCCTAGAATAATAAAAGCGTCATTTAGAACAGAAACAGAAAGTGAACATGTCAGTCATACAGTATTATGCGCCAACAGATATTAAGGATGAATCAGTAAAGGATAAATTTTACATGCAACTTCAAAATAATGAAAAAAAGGACAGTATACAATTTGTATGGGTGATCTGAATTGCTAAGTTAGGATAAGATAACACAGGTTATGAAGAGATTATGGGAAAACATGGACTAGGATAATGAATGAAAATGGAGAATTGTTCACCAGTTTTTGTTAAGGGAGCCAGTATGTTTTTGGTGGAAATATTGTCCTACATAAAAGAATATACAAGACAACCTGTAAGATAACCAATTAGATTGATCATATGTCTGTAAATTAACAAATGTAGACTATTCCTTTATGATGTTAGGGCTTTCAGAAGTGCTGAGGTATTTACTAACCATTTTCTGCTGATAAGTAAAATTCTTAAAATCATAGAAACTAATATAATGTAGAATATCTCGGGGATACAGAAGTTAAGCAACCCTTTTCAGTTAGTCTCTAATTACTACCAGGTGTTACAGCAGTAAGCTGATGTGGTAAGCACTGCTGAAGTCTGCTGGGAACAGATCAAGGGAATTTCGAATAAATATTGTGTAACAGTTCTTGGTTAAAAAAAAAACACACACTCACACACTTGTAAACATTAGTGCTGAGGCGTTGATAACACCTGAAGCCATTAAAATGAAAGAAGAAAATAAAGAAAAAAGGCAGACCTAAGCTAAAGCGAAACTAGAGCTGCTATAGCTAGAGCTCATGAAAAATACACAGAAACTAATAATAATAAAAACTCCACAACTGTAGCATGCAAAGCAGAAGCCTACCGATCATCAGTAGGTGGTCTCCCTTCGACAATTGTTTCGGCCCGTTTATCCCCAATCTCGGTGGG